TGGGCACCGAGCTGTACCGCTGGCTCTGACGGGCACCAGGCTGAACCACTGGCTTGGACAGGCGTGCAGGCTGCACTGCTGGCTCTGACGGGCACCAGGCTGCACCGCTGGCTCGGATGGGCACCAGGCTGCACCACGCTGGCTCTGACGGGCACCAGGCTGCACTGCTGGCTCGGATAGGCATGCAGGCTGGGGCTGCAGTTGTCTTTGGTGTGTTGTTCTCAGGCAAATCCTCCCCAGCTCCCAGAGGCACCTCCCAAAGGGCTTAAAATCAAGCATAGCAAAGCCCCCCACCCCTGTTGCCCATCTCCTAACAGGTGCCATGGAGCTCTCCACGGGACATCTATGGCACCAGGTCCTACAAATGGGAGCCAGGGCCAATGTCACCATCTCCTTCTCTGTAGTCCAGTGCCTGACCATCATGCCAGGAACAGTAGGATCCAAGTAAGAGATGTGTGGACCTGTTAGGGATGTCCCCATGGGAGGGCCACCTGCAGCCTTGGGGTAAAGAGCTTCAGGGACCAAAACAGCCTTGCCTTTCCATTGTCCCAAAGGTCTCCTTCCTCTCCTTCCTTTTTTCTCTTCCTGTCTTCCTTCTTCTCCCTCCTTTGCTTCCTCTCTTTCCCTTCCTTCCACCCTCCCTTCCTCCCTTCTGTTCCTCCTCCCATCCTTACTTCCTCCCTTCCTTCCCTCCTTCCTTTTGTCCTTTCTTTCAACCAACACTGAGAGAGCTTCTCTAAGCCAGACCCTGTGATGAGTGCTAGGGAGAAATTACAAATCAATTTAGTAAAAAATCCAAAGCAAACTCAGAAGAGGAGAAAGGAGATGGCTTCTGCCAGTTGCCCTCTTGCCTTAGTATGGACATGGATGCCACAGGGGCAGGTAGACCCTCGGGGCAGGAAGGAGCCCTAAAATTCCACTGCTCTCAGCACTTGGGAAACTAGCCTTCAGCGAGCGTGTTTGGCCTTGCTTTGCTCTGACATCCAGGATCTGGCCAGCCACAGGGCGATCCGGCTGGTGAATGTCCTGCCTGCATCACAGCGTGGGGACCGGGGCTCTTCACGGTGGGCTCGTTTGCTGTAAGACACGTGCTCTTCGGGATGCAAACTCTGATCGCATTTCCAGGCCAGAGCCTTTCTGGTGCATCCGTGACTCTCTCGCCATGCCATGGATGTCCCAGAGGTCCAGCGGCCTAAAGTAATTATAAATTAATTTGGTATCTGCCTTCCAATAAACCCAGTAGCAGAGGGGCCACGTGGCATTGGCCAATCTCCATGAGTGAGCCTGGTGTCCCAGAGAGTGGACACACAAGGGAGAGGCAGGGATGGGACAGAAGCTCTGAGCAGACGAGCGTGGAAGAGTCCAGGCGTTCTGAGAGGGTGACAGAGCAGCAGCAGCCAGCCAGGTGGAGGAGCAATGCCTAGAAATGTCCAGAGGCCAAGAACACACCCAGGACCTTGCCGGGGTGTGCTCCTGGGGAGACGCAGGGTGAGTCCATGCCAAGTTATTTCCACCGCTGAGACAGGCCCATGCTGGAGGTTGTTGCCTGAAAATCTTCCTCTCCAGGAGTTTCACTGAAGATGCAAATGTGTTCAAAGCTCAAGAGTCAAGAAGTGATGAACTTCGCACCTGCTCATGATGAACTTGGCTTAGGCCAAGTGCCCAACCAGGGCTCCGGTTACGTAAGTACAGGGGTCAGTAGCTCCTCCAGCTGCCTGGAGCCCGCTCTCATTCCTAATGGAGAAGGCCATGTGTTACAGTGGTTGGACTCAATTTCCAGACCCTTCATATAGATGCAGAGACCTTGTGGAGCATAGCAAGGTAGAAAGGTAAACTTCATAGCCCATTGCTGTTCATGCGTTGCTGTCCCGCCCATGTCCTCAGCAGGGACTCACTGGGTCTCCTAAGGAAAGGACCGGTGGCTTCTGCTCAAGCCCCACCCTCATACACAGACCCTCTGCTTCCTCTCCTGGCTGTCTGGGTACCCCACACTGCAGGCTGTGTGGTGGGCCAGCCCTGATGGGGAGACATACCCAGGAAAGCAAAGGACTGCAAGGCACATGGTGAGTTGGTGGCAAGACTACGGCTCTGCTTGGTGCCCCTCCAGTCAACTGGGAAAACAAAACACTGAGCTATGTGTGTTTCCCCAGACATACCATGTGGGCTCTTCCATGCTTTGCAGTAGAACTCCTACTTACCCTCCAAAGCCTAGCCACCTCCCATGGGAGACTCAGCATCCTCTCGCCGCTGCCCTGTGGAAGGTGGAGCCTCCGGTTGCTGTGGCCGCTAAACACTAGTATCCATGGGCTTCTGTGACTGGGCACTCGGGGGCCAGGTCTCACATCGGGCCCCTAGGCCTAGGAATGCAGTGCTAGCACCATATGTGCTTTATGAAGGGAACTGAACAGGCTACCATGTGACCTGAGGCAGATTCTGATGGAGCAGAGGGCAGAAGGTTCTAGACCCCAGGGACTGGCAGGATGTGAGTGGAGGGGAGGGCAAGTACACAACACCAGACCAGGGGAGGGGCAAGGAGAAGATGGCCTTGGGCCATCAGAACCCAGCAGAAGGACCGAAGTGCCACGGACCAGCTGCCAGGGTTCCAGGAGGCTGAGAAGGTTTCAAAGAGAATGTACAAGAGGGCTCCAAGTCCAGCATCCAGACCCCCGTCCTGTCCTGGAGCTGCTGTTGGTCGCAGGAAGTCAAGGCTCCTTCCTCCCATCTGACAGCATCATCAAGAAAGGCCAGGATTGATTTTTCCATCTTTCTGCACTATGCCCACTTCCTAATCCACAGCTGGACCCCGTGGCCAGGGCAGTGGCAGCTCGGGCTTTGTTGTGGATTTCTAGAGCAGCACCTCATTCCTAAGAAGTCAGTTTGGAAAGGAGTTTCCCAGCACAGACTGTGTCATCACGCGCTGCTTCCATGCCTCTAAGGGGGACTGCGGGAGAAGCTGCATCCCCAGGCAGCCGCTCACCCTCCTGACCAAAGCCCAGGTGGGTCTGCCTGGCAGCGGCCCTCCCTGTGCCTTGCTAAGCCTTGAGGCAGAGAAACCATCAACCCCACAGCCCCTGCCTAGGGTTGAAAGCTCCAAAATGACCCGCTCATCCCATGACTAATGAGCACATGCCCGATTGTGGGGAGAAACAGAGCCCTCCTATGAGGCATCTCAGAGGACCTGGACAGACTCCAAATCGCAGTGAAGGGGGGCAGCCAGGGCAGGAAAGTGGAGCCGTTGGCAGGTGTCCAGTCAAAGGGCACAGCAGGCCAAACTCCAGGCCTGGGCAGGAAGGCTGAAAGCAAGGAGGGGACCGGGAGCCGTGAGGTGGGCGTTGGGAGCAAGGGAAGCAGCTCAGAAGGAAGGCCCTGTGAGCAGTGAGGCCGCTGGACCTCTGAGACATCCACGGCATGGCGAGAGAGTCACGGATGCACCAGAAAGGCTCTGGCCTGGAAATGCGATCGGAGTTTGCATCCCGAAGAGCACGTGTCTTACAGCAAACAAGCCCACTGTGAAGAGCCCTGGTCCCCACGCTGTGATGCAGGCAGGACATTCACCAGCCGGATCGCCCTGTGGCTGGCCAGATCCTGGATGTCAGAGCAAAGCAAGGCCAAACACGCTCGCTGAAGGCTAGTTTCCCAAGTGCTGAGAGCAGTGGAATTTTAGGGCTCCTTCCTGCCCCGAGGGTCTACCTGCCCCTGTGGCATCCATGTCCATACTAAGGCAAGAGGGCAACTGGCAGAAGCCATCTCCTTTCTCCTCTTCTGAGTTTTTGGCTTTTTTGTATGACAGAGTCTCGCCCTGACACCCAGGCTAGAGTGCAGTGGCGCAATCTCAGCTCACTGCAACCTCCGCCTCCCAGGCTCAAGCAATTCTCCTGCTTCAGCCTCCCAAGGAGCTGCCATTTTTATCTTCCCTTATGTAAATCAGAACCACATGAGTAGTTAACTTTAACAGGCCAGACAACTGGGATTCCTAAAAGTTCAGACGATTCTGTCAAGTAGAGTTCACAAGCCATTCCCGAGACATGCCAAGCGCTCATATACGCGGTCTCCTAATATCTGCTTTCCCCATTTGATAACTGAGCCACATGTAGTGACTTGTCCGTGGTCACACAGCTGTGTTCATGCTGGTGTAGCCCCAAATCTGACTCTTCTTTCATGGTACCCCAGGAAGCGTTCCTGTCTCAGGAGACAGAGGCACAAGGTGTTTTTGTTTTTGTTTTTGTTTTTTTGAGACAGTGTCTTGCCCTGTCACCCAGGCTGGAGTATAGTGGCACAATCCTGGCTCACTGCAACCTCTACCTCCCAAACTAAGAGATCTTCCCACCTCAACCTCCCAAGCAGCTAGGACCACAGGGACATGCCACCATGCCCAGCTAATTTTTGTGTTTTTTGTAAATACAAGGTCTCACTATGTTTCCCAGGCTTGTCTGGAACTCCTGAGCACAAGTGATTCACCCACCTCGGCCTCCCAAAGTGCTGGGATTACAGGTGTGTAATCATGCCCAGCCCATGAAGCATTTTTAAAGTAGTGGAAAGGAAATGCCCACCTCCTTCTCATTCACCGGATCTAGGTGTGGGAAGTGCTCTTGTCCCAAGCATTGTCTTACGGGCTCAAAGTAGGACATGTGTGTCAAAGGCATGTCTTGGAGGGGCAAGTGGGGTCTCTACTACTGACATTCTAGAACCAGGGACCCCAAAGAAGCTTGAGTTCCTAACTTGAGGACCACAGCTGCACCCCTGTCCCCCAGGAGGGACTACATCAGCATTCAGCCAGGACTGCTGGGGTCCTGTGGGTGATCTCATCATGCTTGTGTTTTGAGGGCAGCTGAGCAGTAAGGGCCTCACTTCTAAGAAATACGGTTCTAGTGAACCAGCGAGGCCACATGCAGCTTCCTGGGAGCAGATGCATGACCTAATCTAAACACCCCCTGCCACTGCGGATTGGTGCTAAGAGAATCCACACAAGAAGGCTCATGAAGAAGGCAGCATGAGAATCTGACTTGGGAAGGCGACCACCAGGAAACCCGGGCTCCGCAGGTCCTACCAGGCCTGCAGCTTACCATGGTGGGTAGGAGGTCCTGGCCAGGGGAATTCTGGCTCTGCTGGCCCTGGGACTTATGACTCTTAGTCATCTAAAGCCCAGGCAGCTGCCACCTCCAGCTCCTCTCTGATTAAAAACTCCCAGGGGTAAAGATGAGATGGGGGGAGCCCTAGTGAGCGGTGAGAGGGGAGCCCAGTGTTCTGGCTCTGCAGGGTGCCCCAGCTGTGCCATGCTTTCCAGCAGAAACGCAGCTGGAGGACAGGGCGCTGTGACATGGCGAGACCTGTGCAGGCAGAACTGATCACGCTCCTCTTAAACAGATGTGGAAACTGAAGCTCAGAAAAAGGGCATGGCTTGCCCAGGGTGGCACCGCTGGCAGGGATCCTGAGTGTCCCGTTCTCTGCTGCTTCCAAGTCCTTGGGGAGCCACAGGGTAGCAGGCCCAGGTGTGGGACCCCGAAGGGACTTGGCAGTGCACTCCCTGGTAGCTTCTCTGCCACACCCCACATCTGGGATATCCCATTTTCCCCAGCAGAAACGAATGTCCCAGACCATGGGCTCTTGTGGCAAGCATGGTGACATTCCTGAGCTGAAAAAGTTTATTTTCTTTTCTCCACATTCTCATTTCTACCAGATTTTCTTTATTAAGCAAATACTGATTTGATCATGTGGAAAATAGCCATGGGCAGTGGCTGTGTGTAATTCTTTAAGATTCCTTGGGAGAAAGAGATGACTTTTGCTGGAATCACATCCAAGTGCTTCCCAGATCCCTGGTCCCATGATTGGGAGAGTTTCCTGGTTCTGACTCTGGGCTGCAGCTTGGCTCCCAACCTTGGGCTACCCCTTGAGCATCTCCCAGGGACTTCCAGATAGCAGCTGCTTTATCAGCTCCATTTTTCCCAAGGGCTTCTGCCTGAGAAGGGTAAATTTCCTGGCGTGGTCCATCCCATTGGAACCACCATTTTCACTGGGGCAAGCCACTGAATGGTGAGAGAAGCATAGACACCTACCAGCTGGCCACACGGCCCCACGACCTCTCCATGCTCACGGCAGCTCTCTTGTTTAAACATCGTTTGCCCTTTATTCTGGCCTCTTAGACATTGTCTGGTTTCAGATTCCGCCCACATCATAGGTCTTGACCAAAGGTACCTTACAGAGTGGGCTAAATATGACTCTCTCGTCAGAAAGACCCAGGTGGGTGGAAATCCTGGGCTGTCACACATTACCCCAAGCTGTGTGACTGGGGACACACATTTAGCTCGAATTCCCCCATCCACAACGTCGGCAAACAGGCAGGAACTGCATCACACAGTTGGGATTGCTAAAGATGATAAATGAATAAAGATGATAAGTGCCCACCCCCTAGGAAGCCCTCAGTAGAAGCTAACTAATATAATAGTGGTAACAGTTGCTATTAATAAGGAAGCTGAATTATTTGATTCATGCCATTTGGTACCAAAGTAGGAATGCTAGTCTGAAAACACAAAAGCTGTGGGTTCCATTCATGGCTACATGGCAGGTGGCAAGCCATCCTTCCTCCGTGAGCTTCAGTCTCTTCCTTTGCAAAGTAAGGGACTTGGAGGAAGTGACCTCTAAACACTTGGTGTTTTGGAATTGAAGTTTTTTATGTGAATGTCAGGCAGAGTCCCAAGAAACAAATGGCTGCCTGAAACAAGTGATTTCAGGGAAATTTAATGCTGGGATTATTTACCAAGGTGAGAACAGGATTCAAGAAAACCAGCAACGACTGGCATCTGGGAGGTTCCTTACCACTCGCTCAGTTTGAAAGGGCAAGGTGGGGCACAGTTAGTTCCACAGCCTGGCCACCATTCTGCCCATAGCAGGGGGCTGCCGGACACGACCCGGGCCTTTGAGGGAGAAACACAGCCATCACCGTGGGCTGGCTATGACAGTGAACATCCCAGCCTGGCTCTTCTCCTGCTTCCCATCCGGTCCAGTGTATCCCGTTGTCCAGACCAAGCAGAATTCACAGAGCAAGGGAAGCTGTTGAGGCAGTCCAAACTGGGCCAAGGCAGAAAGCATGGTAGGAAGAGGTAGAAAGACATTCTGAGAGGGCCAATGGAAGGTCTTCCCCATGCCTAAGGAGGGAGAGGCAAAGCAAACCAAACCTCAAGAAGTCATCAGAACAGAGGCGTGTTAAGGTGCAGGAGATGGCTTTGAACTAACAACACCTGTTAATTATCTGAATTCAATTTGAGTTTGTAATTCTTCCCAACAAAACAGAGATTAATCTTTCTTTATACCAGCTGGAGGTGTGCCATTTTCTTTTTCCTCTCACAATATTGCAAGAGTGGAAATGTGCCTCCACTTTTCTTATTTATCAAAAGTTAATCATTCATTCATTTCCCTTCCTAAATACTGCATGTGGCCAAGAAGTTTAAAGTTGCTCCAACCTTACCTTGCAATTAGCAAGCTTGTCTGAATGTGAAGATAAAAAGGCAGTCTCATATTTTAATCATTACGCTTCAACAAGCCACTTCAGTCCTCTCTCATAATGGCCTGAAGTGACCCAACACCAAGGAAAAAAAGAAATGTTTAAAAAATTAGACCATATTGATGAATTGCAGATTTATTGCAAAGGGTGGCGGTTCATTAGTAATGTGGAATTTCCAGGGACCGAAATGGGACAAGCGGGAAAGATGCCAGCAGGATGAATTGGGCACCAGCATTTCCAATTAGTAATTGTATGGCCATGTGACAGATAAATCAGCTTGGGAACGCTTAGGAGATTTTGAGAATGAAGGGAGAAGAGGATGAGTTTTGAGCAGAGACAGAAATGAATAGGGCCTAAATAGGACTGTACCCTTCCTTCTCCTTAAATTCAACGACTGCTGAGGGCCCTTCTGTGCCAGGCCATGGGCCACATGCTGGGAAACAGGAGTGCCGGAGCCACCCCACTCCTCAGAAGCAGCTCAGTCTCACAGGGAGACAAGTGGCTAAGATGGTATGATAGCTTCACAGAGTGCTAGTGACGCCAGGCATAGAGGTCCCCAGTCCCAGCTAGGGTGCCAGGAAAGCTGCTGGAGAAGGCGGCACCTAAGTGGACAGCCAAAAAACGAGAAGGGATTAGCTGGTCCTTCTAGACGGAGAGATAGTGTTCAGCAGAGCGAGGGCACCATGGGCAAGGTACAGAGTTTCAGAAAATGACCTTCAGAGAAGATGACTGAATGCCTTGGAACCTTGTAAGCCACAGCATGGATTTTATCCTTAAGGCATAGGGAGTCACTGAAATCTTTGAGGAGGACGTAACAAGATTAATTTGGAAACATGGCTCTCACTACAGAATGCTTGATGGACCAGACAGGACCAAGAGTGGAAAAAGGAGAGCGACTGTGAAGTGCTGGCCAGCAACCCAAGCAAGTGAGGAGAGAGGCAAGAACCACAGTTTGTCTGGGGTGAAGGAAAGGGCGTTTCCTGGCTACCTACAAGACCGCGCTCATGCAGCTGAGTCCTGGAAAGTGCTAGAAGCTGAAAATAGACACAAGGTCTCTAAGATATCCCATACAAGGCTGAAAAAGAAATCAAGCACCCATGACCATAGATAAGGTGGAATAAAGTACGGATAAAGTGTAATAAACTGAGAAGCCACAAGATTTCCCATCATGAAGTCAGCACATGTGAAATCAGCACAAGTGATTGTCCATGTGAAATCAACACAATTAACATTATAGCTGACATTGTGTTTTCGTCTATTGCATTTTTTTTTTTGCAACTACAAAGGAGCTTCTCTTACACTCCCAATATTTCAAAGGTAACTAAAATGGGCACCAGGTAGTACCCTTTGCTACCACACCCCACCACTTTTGCCAGAAACCAGAGACACACTCTTGACACCTCCCTTTCTCTCATCCCCATAGCCAATCCATCACCAAAATGCTCCGTTTTGTTTCATAAAAACCAAGAATAACATCATCCTGTCTATTTTTCTCCTCCTCAACTGCCGACTCTCGACTTGTCCATATGCAATTGTATTTATTTACTTCTGAGTTTCCTCTGCCATTTCATTGTCTGTCTATGCATAAATAACACACTGTTTTACTAGTAGAGACTTACTATTCTTATGTCTTACTGTATCAAATGTCTAGCCCTCCACAAAAGCCCTTCATTTTCAGGATTTTCTGGCTCTGCTAGATCATTTAATCTTCTAAATCAATGTTAAATCAACTTGCTTAATTTCAGGGAAAAAAATGGTATTTTTATTGAAATAGTAATACATTATAAATTAAATTTAAGAAAAGAGACATCCTATCCATACAAGTAGATACGGATATACATGGATATCCATTTGTCCATGTTCACTTTTTGTTTTATAGATTTCTTCATAAATGTGTTGCACATTATTTTGCTAGCTTTATTCTTAGCTATTTTATTAGATTTTTACTGTTGTAATTATACATATTTGCTAGTCTATATCTGCTAAGTGTTTTGTTTGTATATATAAAGATTACTGATATTACCTTATA